TATAGTTGACATTTTTATATACTGAAAACCTTTATTATTTAGTGAACAATTTTAAACATTATTAACCTATAAATGACAAGTTGCTTAAAATTCATATATAGTAGATCATATTTTTGCTCTTTACTTTAAAAATTTAATAAAAGATAGGTATATTCACTGGTTGTGATAAAATGTCTTATTTGGCATTTTTTTATACATCTTATCTTAAAGGACCACCCATGTGATTTACATAATTTACTTACCAGTTTTTTTTGACAACATAACATATGACGCATGAAAACCTTCTTCTTCTCCAATTTTATCCAATAATTCAACAGCTCCTGTATTCAAGTCATTTAAGGATTCTGAATTCTATAAAACAATTTTTTTTTAATAGCTTAAATTTTTTTTGATTTATTTTATTAACAATAATAAAAATTGGTTACATTTAAAGAACTCAAATGAGATTTCTCAGATTTTTTTATTGATTAAAGAATGTTTCAACTTGTTTTAAAGCATCAGTTGAAATGAACTGTACAGGTTTCTTTTTATGGTCATCTGCCTCACTACTTTGGGGTGAACCATTAGTTGATTGAGGAGGCTCATTGTAACAAAGGGCAGCAATTTCTTCTTGTGACAAATTTTTTACTTGATCATACATCAGACGTGCTGCCTGTCGTTTTGCTCCTTGTTTTGTTTTTCCTTCTCCTATAAATGATTATAATTATGGTCCATGATTAACATAAACATTAAATTAAATCATAGATTTTGTACCTTGAGTTTTATACTTCAAAATTGAACATATTACTCTATACCATCGATTATGTGGTTCCCCTGAATCATCAGATGGAAAATCATATTCAGGAAGTTGCCATCTTCTAGCCATACATAACTCTTGAAGTACTCCAATAGGATTTATATCAGACTTAGTTTCCAAAATATTTTTTGGGGCATCTTCACTAAAAATCAATATTTTTTATAATAATTGAAATTTTTTTCAGTTAACTAATTGTTAATTAATTTCAAATAAGATTTTAAATAGTATTTATTTATATTAAAAAAATTTTGAAGTGTGCAAGTATTCTAAACTAATTAATTAATCAAAAATTAATAACAATTATTCAAAATATTAATTTAAAAAATCTTAAATAAGTTGTTAATTAGATCTAATTTATTCTATACAATAGTAAATTTTAAATAATGATATTTTAATTTAACAACAGACATGTCTAATTAGAACCTGAACATAAGTATTA